ATCACAATCCTGTTGAAGATGTAGACTGTAGATGTACCTCTCGATCCTGCCGCATTAGCTAGTTCCGAAAACTCGGCCAACTGCGCCGCAAAAGCGGCCAAAGATGCCTGCACATCGACTTCGAAAGCAACCTGCAGAACTGAAGATTTTGCGAGCACCATCATGCAACATGATAACGCTTCGACAGGACCAGAAGGCATCCAATATGGCCAGTACGTCTGGGAGCCGACCACTGTAGGTAAGATCGATTTTCTGGAGATGCTCAGTGGTTCTGCAAAACGTGGTCAATCCGCATCCATGCAGGGACTTCGAGTCGGCGCACCGATAGATTTGAGAACAGGTTCCGATTTGCTGACATCCGAAGGCCGGCGAAAAGCCATGGAAGTCATTGAGCGACAACAGCCAAAAATCACCCACATGGCACCAGTTTGTGGACCATGGAGTCAATCACAAAATATTAATGAGCCTGCAGATACTTATCGAAAGAGGAAAAAGTATCTTCCCATGGTAGAATTTTGTGCCGGAGTCGCTCTATACCAGATTGAACATGGTAGATATTTCATTATTGAAAATCCTGCCACTTCAAAAATTTGGTTTACCAAGTGCTTCCACAACGCCTTCTTACCAAGCATGCCGTAACCTACGGAACATTAGATATGTGCTTTTGGCATGAGAGACCCAAATGGGAAGTGCTCCTGGATACGGATCAAGAACGAAATTAGCACAAGTATATCCATACAGGTTTTGTAGCACTTTGATCAGAAGTATTCTTCCTCTTGTTCTGTATCCAACACAATTGTCACTTGCTGTAGGCCTGCTGGAAGATCTGAACCTCGATGAGCTGCGAGGAGTCCAAAATCAGCTTGCCGCACTCACGGCTTCAGAGCATCCTGTGTTGGCAACTGACTTGTACGAACAGGGTCTTCCGGTATGCGACTACTACACGCGACGCTTACTCAACCGCATTAATGCTCTACCATCTGGTAATGTTTATCACCCTGTTCAGATCGAAGCACAGCAAGATGTATCACACGTCAGGCAGATGTATCTAAGTACGTCTATGTTTGACAACGCAGTCATTTTCGCGGTAGTTCTCAGTCGTTACGAGCTAACTATCGCAATACAAATGGCGTACTCTTACTTTGGAAGAAAAAGGATACGTCACATGTTTTTCTTCGACTACATCCCAGAGATATGTCGCAATTAATTAATTGCAAGTCGAGTCAATGGTCCCCAATTTTGTTCTGGAACAATGATGGTAACATTCCGTCCGACAATCACGACAACACTCCTGAACAGAACACCAGCATCGACCCTCCACCGGGTCTGCCGCCGCAGCCTGACAACAATCAGAATGATGACAATAGTCCTGAACCTTCCGTCATCACCTCAACCACCAGATGTTCCTATGCCTGATGATCCTCATACGGCGAGTCACGGCTATACACCTGATGATGATGATGATCCTTTTCACACACCATTTCGCTCACCACCACGGCCGAATGATGACTCACCTGATGAGGAAATGCATTCACCACACGATGAACCTCCTGACTTACCACCACATCCATCATCACCTCCAGATCATCAGAGTTTACCGAAGACGGTTAGAGACAAGCCCAAGCTGATATGCTTGAAGGTTTAGGCATTGCCAGCATTTTTCTCCGCATTGGCAGCGGTCATTCAAATCAAGTTCATATTGAGCACACACCTTTTAAGCCAATGGTGTTTAAAGATCGTTATTTAGTGCGTGGAACAAACGAGAAAACTTGGCATCGATCCGCTCCCGCGGACTTATGCCAGGCGGCACTCTTTGCCCTTGATCATTGTCTTACAACCATGACAGATGCCTTGAGACCGGAATCCGCTTGCATTATCATCGGTACTCCGGCGTGCCTTGAAGGACTTGATCCCGTAATCACAGAAAACAAATATGTCCTTACATCTCATACTGTTCCATATTCTCGATTTGTTGGAGTTTGGTCTCTTGTTGATTGTGCGTGGATTGATCCTCCGAACCCCGGAGAACTTGCCAAAATGACCAATTTTAAATCTGATGTTGACATTTCAATGCATATTGCTCACCAACAATTTTATTGGGAAAAGAGGAACCAAAATGAAGCTGATGGAATTGTTTGGGCCAAAACAGATTACATTCGTTTTGTAACTGAAAAACTTACCGACCAAAATATCATCCAGAATTTCCTTAACAGCTTCAAGACTGCACGCGCCGATATCTCGGCCAGGCCTCCACGCGATGGACCAACACCAAATGACCGCTCTCGTGGTCCGCTCAGAACACGAGAAGATGACCGCGTAGACCAGATTCGACAAACCATCGCAGAGCGCTTCAAACAAGGAATGCGGAAGGAGGTTAAATCCGAAACACGGAGAGAGAACAAGAAGCGTGAGGCAACAGGACGAAGACAAATCGAAATCAGTTCCTCAGAAAGTGAGTCTTCGTCGCATATGGCCAAGCCAGTCAGGCCTATCGTGGCTAAGGCAATGCCGACCAAAGGAGGAGAGACATGGCGGAGAAAATCCGATAAACCGGAGACATCCGCCGCAGCCTCAGGTTCGTCAGCCTCTGCCTCCAAACTGTTTTTAGAAATAGTGCGAACATCGTAGCGCTTTGCGAAGCCATAGACGATCATGGACATGGAGGTATCACGATTCACCAAGAACATCCAAGAACTTGCTACTGCTAAAGAGCACTCCATGATAGGAATGGTGATCAACGCCGAAATCGCCATGAAGTAGGCACTTTTATTGAACTCTTAGTCCACCACCAATCCGAAACGGAAAACAAAGAGCCTAAAAACCGCTTCTGTCTGATTCACGGTTGTATCTTCCGTCTTGCCTTCGGCAGAGCAAAATCCGGACAAATGGTGGACCCTTCCACGGGCATTCGCGCTCAGAAACCGACGGGCATGACACCCAACATGGACGCCGCCATTACGCCGCATTCGGCTCCATGGGCAACCGCTCGCGATTCCCCAGACGTCCAGATTTGTGAGATCGACGGCCTTTGCAGTGTCCAAAATGCAGATCTGCTTAAACCGAAAACCGGTGCAGACAGCCATGATGTCCGTCGTCTCGGCTTATCCGAAATACGCTGTGCCGTTTTCCACGCAAACTCGTGGGCATGGAACAATGGATAATATTCTGAATGCTGTGAGAAATGGCTTCATTTTGTTGCAGCTTGTGTCGAGCACCAAGCAGATTTTATCGCCGGTGACGGCAACCAATTTGCCCAACGAAATTTCAAGCGTGATGATCATTCCGACTACCGGAGTTCCATCATGATCGACATTCTTGAGCGTTTTCTCGGATATGTCAATATGCACCGCAGCGCATTGAACAGAATTTCTTACAATTTGGTTTCTTCAACTCAAGCCTGTATGTACATTCGCGCAATGGAGAATGATCCGGAGGCGGACTGTGATTCCATGATTCTGATCAGTCTTTGCTACGGCAAACAAACAGTCGTCTCCGGGGACAGGGGCCTGACCGCCAGGAATCCGCTTCCGCGGATGGCGTTGTAGGACCGGCCATTGATGATGAAATTATATTCACCGAAGTGGAACAGGCAAAACACCTGATGACCTACGATCTTGGTTTGGCAGAAACCGATGCCGGATGGCATTCGCCTTTGATGACGTTTGCCACAATGCGTGTGATGAAAAATATGAGAGTTAGGTCTCAGGCAGCCGAAAATTGGCGTCGCGAAAGATGGCAAGAAAAGAATGAACAATACAAGCAGAACCGTGAAGATCAAGGAGAAGAAAGAAGAGAGCGACGCGACAGTGTTCCACCAATGCAACTAGATTCATTCCGAAACATAATACTCGTGCAAGAAGCAGAGAAAGATCCATGAGCCGAAATCCCGGCCGCGATGGAACTCAATCACGCCAGCCACGCGCACCGCCTCAGCCTCCTCCTCCGAGGATGCCGAGTCAAAGCCCGAGACGCACTACCGAGAGACCATCTGGCTCGAGCTACAGGCGTGGCACCACGCCTCCTTGCCGTGAGCATGAGCGCGGACGTGATGATCGTCGCCAGCGATCTGAAACACCGCCGACACGTAGCACCCGAAGTCGCACCGAAAATCGGTCAAACCAAGGTGCATCGTGGACCAACACAGGACGCCAACAGCGCCGAGAGGTACCACCAAACGTACCTGAACCACCTGCTCCTCCAAGAAGACAGACAGGCGCACAATGGCTCAACACAGGCGCATAGCAGAATGTGCAAGAACCACCTCAAGCGAACCGCAATACCGGTCGAGGTTACTTTCAGCCGCCTTATTTTAGGCAGAATCCAAACACCAGTGCAGTAGAGTATATGCTGTGGCATTAGTTGAATTCTCACTTCTCCAAAAGCACGAACCGCTATCGCGGTCAGCAGTAGTAGCATCAGATTTTGTCTTCGGACACGTTTCACTGCAGAGCATAAGCTGAGCGCTTCTTCTGCGTGAAAAGTTTTGTGCATGTTACGACACGAAGAAAATTTGTGTCTGTTTGTAATCTATTTATGGGGACGTGTCTTCACAATGCATGCATGACAGTGGTGCATGTGCATGACATGTTCACAATAATTCATTTGAACCACTGCGCCACTCCGTGGCTCAAGACTTGCTTGCATACCGCAGCAAAAAGGTGTAGCTTGCCGCCGCGTGACCACAAGTGTTCTAACGTAGATCCAGGGCTCCCTCAATACGGGGATTGCTATCTCAGGGGGTACAGGGTGACGTATCCATTGCGCCGGACTTTCGACCCCCCCTCAAAATGTAAGTCCGTACGTGCTTGTTTTTGGATGTAGGGGGGGTCTAACTTAGAGATAGCCGACCCCCTCAGGTTTTTTCCCGAGGGGGGTCAAAACTTTAGCTTACATTTTGTGTACGAGTACGTCCCCCTTGCTTACACCCCTCTAAAAGGGTGGTGATTATAAATGTCTGTTTATGTGCCTGAGCAATTTAGGTTCGTTCCATGCTCATCAGCCTCTGGATATTTGCAGGTCTCGTGCACAACTGATGACAAGAGTTTTTGCACCTCCTGCGAACACTTTGGGTTGAAGCCGCAGAACTGTTTTCACAAAGTGACAAACAGGACGTAAGAAAGCAACCATAACAGAATGCGCAACAATGCCAAGTTTTTGCAATTATCCAAGAAGTTCACATTGCCCAACAGCGACAAACAAATTGGTCACTCATCTTAATGCTTCCTAGCGGACATCTGGGTGCTAAGGCTCATGTGATCTGTCTGTGTTCACATTTGTTCAAACAAATCCGACGCTGGACATCAAGAGTCAAACACGTACGTATCGTGACTCTGTGCGTTCTCCAATACGAAAACAGGTTCTTACTTGAGAAACAGAGACCTTCTCGCTTGAAGAAAAACCTAGTATGCAGTTTTCGAGACAAGATCTACAGGACAAAGACATATTTTGCTACTATACAGAATGCGTAAACTGCTTACGAGTAGGATGAATAAGCAACTCAGCAACCTCTTGCATGGAGTGGCACACAATGTCAGCATTAACAAAAGGAAAAGGAAATTGGACAAACCAGACTGAATTTGCCTTGTCCCTGACATTCCACCGACATCCACTGACAGGCAGGCTTGCGAGCTCCTGGAATGCTGCCATATCCGTGTCTTGCCTTTCGATGCTCAAAGACGGAACCAACCAACCACAAGCCTACAGCGCCTACTACGGCACCTACTACAGCACCTACTACGGCACCTACTACGGCAGTTCATCTTGCAGAGATCCCAATGTCTTCGTATTTCATCAAATTTCATCAAGATAAATTGCTGCAGATGCTTTGTGACCTGATACTCTTGGCAAGACAGTCAGAAAGATTTGGTCAAGAGACAAGCTGTCTGCGAGCTGCAAGAGTTCACTCACCACAGCTGGTAAAAGCGGCTTCAACCGCCTCAGCAGCTCATGGTTCCCTTGTGTTCCCTTGCTTCACAGGATGTCTTTCAAGTGACTTCGCATTTGAATGCTTTAGATTCTACTTTAGATTCCTTCAAACCAGCATCGTCCTCATTGACAGCTTCTTGTTCAATCGCCGAGGAACGTCACGCCGATGCGTAAAAAATGTTTCCAGCAGCGCAAGCTGTCTACATTCCGCAGCTGGGCACAGGCACATTGCCTAGGCGAAGGCAGAAAAGGGAAAGAACACATGTTGGGATGTGGACCTCACTCTGTGGACATCCATTTAACTCGCTGACTTCAAACTTACACAGCTAGTAGTGTAAACATGTGTAAACATTCAAAAATACGGTCCTTGAATGTCCTTGACCTGTACCCAACTGATGGGCCGGGAACATCTGCTTCGTGGGATGTAAGGATTATGGCTTTGTCGATTGTTTGAGTTCAACTGTCAAGCAGGCAGGCGCTCACGCTTTCTTTTTCCTGTGGTGCGGCAATCAAACTGCAGTGGCATGCAATATGCTCTGTGAACTGCTGCAGCTCCGAGCGAGCCAGATGCTGGTGCACTGCTGAACCAAGATCACATCCTGTCACTCCCCAACGAGGCGCCCGCCATTCAAAGGGTCTGCGTCTACCTTGGCTACGCCTCTTGCCCAGAGACGCTTTGGCAGCGATGCCGTTGTCCAGCACCCGTAAAATAACGGAACGCTGCAAGCGCGCAAACCGCAACACAGCATATGTCAGAAGAAGCCATGTCAAGGCCAAGGCGCCGACAGCATGGTTTTGACTGCCAACTAAAGATTCCAGGCCCAAAATTATTGACAAGGTCAGTGGTTTCGCTTGGCTTTCCGTGTGACACTGAGGAACCGCTGACTGGCCACGCACTCGGTCAGAGGAACTGTGAAAATCAAAGCCCAACTTCTTTTCGACCCATTTCAAAGTCGCATACGCTCCATGTGGGGCAGTAGGTCCCCGTTCCTGCAAAGAGCGGAGCCATATAGCAACGTGTATACTCGAAGGCTTCCAAGGCTCAATGTTGGACTCAGCACAGTGTCGGCGCCACCTACGCATGAGACGAAGCGCAGCTTGTAAAGTTGGAAGGGCCACCAAGCACATGTCATCAAAAAACATTGCTGCAAACTGCTCTTTGTCAGAGGGAGTCAGCGCAACATAGTCCGACCATTGGCTGCCGTGCGCGCCTACTTCCAGAAACAAGGCCCACAACTCAGAAGCAGCAGCTTCGACCACCTTTCGCTCACGAAGCTGCAACCTTTGCAAATGCAATTCAGTTTCGCTGACAGAGGCTGCCTTCAATCGGCGGCGTTTGGTGGTCGAGAAGCTCTGAAGCGGGGCTGGCGCGCAGCTCGTACTTGAAGAGTTTTGCGCGGCTGCATGCAGATATAGGTCAACATGTTCAACTCTCTGCTGCTGAGGCGCCGCTGCAAAATCCAGCACTGCTCGTCTGGCTGCCATGGCACAAGCGCCTTGAGAAGCAAGCCAGAAGTCGTGAAGTTCGGCCACAAGGCCCGCGGTAAACGAGGTTGAGGGCACGAACTCTTCAACAGAATCCCAAGCGTTAGTTTCAAGCACAGAGGTGATCCCAATTTTTGTGATGTGTGCTTGGGCTTCAGTTGACAAAGACTGGTACAAACGTTGCAGCCGTGGTGAATACATTATCCTCTTTCTATGCTCTCAAGTTGTCCTCCATGTACCCACTTATCCTGCAGCACTCGCACAGCTGAGCCAAGCCATTGGTGGCGCAGGAGGCGGAGGACACGCCAAATGCTTGAGAACATTGCCGGCGCAATGCATCGGCTGCGGACATGAACATCAGAATCAATCCAAATGCAATAATTACCAGTCTGCACCCTTGCCAATAACCAACCATATAGACTGAACACAGCATGAGCAACTGCTTCTGCATGAAATGAGCCGAGTCACAACAAGTCAAACATTTTCACTGCGAAACGGTGCAGCTGATCACCAACGATTTCCTTCCAGCCAGAAGATTTACATAGTTGACCCCAATTTGTTTGCTGCAATTGCTTGCATTGCAGTGCAAAAGGACGATAACCAGTCGATAGTCGATAACCGATGTTAACCGGCAATCATTTACAATCACTTTAGTAATCACTGAGATCATCATTCGTGCTACAGTAGCAGTGCTGGCAGCAAGAGCAGTCCAAGAGCACCGCAGCGCTGCGGAAGAAACGGGAAACATCCAAAGGTACCTCAGCTGAAGGCTGAGGGATGCTGAAGGTCATTCGAGCTAAGGCTTTCCCATGATATTGTGTGCCCTGATTGGAAGTCATGCCAGCTATGGCATGCTATAGCTATATCTCATCTCAATCGCTACAATGGCACCGCACCTTCTTCAGCTCCGGATTCACAACAGTGTTCTCTCTCTCTCTCTCTCTCTCGGGGTTTGTTTGCAACAAGTTTTGAAGACCTTGGGAGTGCGTCTAAAGGTGACGTATCTATACATATCTAACCGTCTAACCAGAACATATTAAAATATCGTAAAATATCGTAACCATGTATGAAATTGATCAAACAATACTAGAAACATCTCGATCATCTTGAAAACTTAGTCTGAAGACTAGACTCCGTGGCTTCCAAGGCGCATCCGAAACTGATGAGAATGGATCCTCGAGAAGCTGACGATACTCCTGAAGCACCCAGCGGACTCAGCGAGCCAACCACTGCACCACCGGCATAATCTGCCCAACCATATCCCCAACCCCGCACCAAACAAGCCGAAACAACCGATGCAAACCACAATGACTTTAACGACAGTGACAACAATGACCATGGCAACTTCCGTTTTATCAAGGTGATGTTCTTGCACCACGCTGATGAAACGTGAGTTGGGAGGTTGGGTGGTTGGGTTGTGGTGGTGGTCTGAGGTCAGGGGTTTGTTTTCCCTTATGCCTGAGTGCTTGAAGCTGTAAGCAAAACGCGAATGATCAAAATCAAAAGGAATGGCTGGAGTTCGTTTCACTTGACACGTACTTTCGGTGGCACAGGAATGGGCAAACCAGAATTGGGTTCATGGATTTGATCAAGGAACGACAAAAAGGAATTTGAAACAGCATCTAATGTTAAGCTGCGCTGATGCTGCGACTGCATTTCGTCTGATTCTAGGTCTTATATATATGGTCTTATTTATGTGGCATAGCAAACCGTCCAATTCACAATTGCTCGAGCACAGCACATCAGAAATCCTGACGCATCTTGCCAATATTTGCCAATTGTGTTTCACATTTCTGTTTCACATTGTTTCACTGTGACTCCACCAGCTCCGCTCCTGCCACTTTGGGTTCTCTCTGCTGTCAGAGATGACAATTTGTAGAATGTCGAGGGCATGCAGAAATCCACTCTCTGTGAGTCCAGCAATGTTTGGGGTACCTGAGCCCAGCAACAGATCGAGAGTAAGGAGTAATGAACTTTCCGCGTCCGCTAGCAAAACCTAATACTTCCTCTTCTCACCTTTTGCTGTCCCTGAGGTCCAGTCATGTGGATCTATGTCGCACAATTCTTGCCAGGGAACATTCATTCCCAGTCACATCGATGATGCTTTTCTCACCGCGACGCTTCTTGGCAACAGCCACTTTCTCTACTACTCCCCTTTTCTTGGAGTCCTCTAGCACTCACACAAAGGATGCTTCGGGGGATTCAAATGATGTATATATATATATATTTGTAATATTTATATCACAATAATCACTCATGCAGGCAAGGAGGACAGCAGCTGATTATGTAGTCATTCCAGGAAGCCTTTCCGCAGTCTATAAAAAGTGCGTGAGAAGGTCTGAATGAAGCTTGAGTATATGTAGGCAGTATACATGTAGCATAGATACTTCGATCTTTTGAAGTTCAACGCATCTTAAGTTAAACCTGTTCTGTCCAGAATGCCAAACGGGAGTCTATACCTCGCTTCCTTAAGAGGCCAACCCCAGAATCCAGGGGCTTGCCCCCTGTCCCGAAACCCTCCGGACGAGTGTCAGGTTTCACATGACGTCAACCTTTGGCTGCGCTTGCCAAAACTATCTGTTCTTTCCACCCGCTACAATGCTTTACACACTCATTCCACGAGAACTGAGTTGAACTGTCCTGGCTTTTCCCTGGCAATGCCTCCAGCAAAGTGCAAATGCGGGCAGCCAAATTGTGAAGCATTGCGTGGATTGCGTGGGACAAGTGAAATCAAATTAAGAAACAATGATTGAAAATGACTGAAGCATTGTGAAACACAATGAAGCACAATGAAAAACAATTATATAAAAATAATGAAACATGCAACACAAGCTTCAGCCAACTATGAGAACTTGACTTCTTGTGACTGCCCAAAAAATCTTCTGCGCCTCAGCAAGGCGTTGTATGCGAGCTATTGCCTCGTCACACCGCTGAGGCTCAGCACACCTGCAAGCTGAGGCATTCGAAACGTAAATCAAACACTTTGTTGAAGTTGACGGACACCAAAAACATTTACAACATATCACAAATGCAAAGTGCACAGAGTTAGGCATGATTTTATGCATGGGTTTGTTCAGCGTCCGAAGTACCCACACCCCTACACATATATGCAGTGTCTCAGTTTTACATAGTTTCACTGTGTTTCGCTTGCACGGTATCTCTGGCAATTTGTCGCTGTGGACGAAGGACGGTGTCGATTTCGAGTCAGATTTGTCTAGGATGCCAGCATCTTTTGAATGCAAAGCAAATTTTGGACATGCCATGTTTGAAGAACCCTGCGGGACTTTTCAGAAAGATCTATACATCTGCCTTTGACATAAACCCTGAAAGGACTGAAGAGACTGCTGCAGCATTGTTGTTCTTTTCTTAAAAGCTTCTTGAGACCGTTTTGTACGACAATGTACAACTTTGTAAGACAATCAAAACATGGAGAACAAAACAAATGGTCGAAAACACATGAAGATTTCTCTTTGCAGAGTCAGCTTTATTGCTCCCTGGCCTGTCGCTATTCCAGAGAATTCGTACCAGCACAGTGCCCCAATGAGCATCGCAAATGTCATTGATGGTCAACTGCGCCACGTTGTCAGCGGTATGGATCTTGTGCCGACACATCAAACCCATACAAGCCAACATAAAAAAAAATTATTTGCCAGATCTCCGCTGTATTGAGCCACCCCAGCACTTCGTGACAAAGTCATGCGACTCATGGTCATGATTCTGAGCGCGTGTTCACCCATGCCGGATCAGACCTGCGTGAGAAAACATAAAATTGCGCCCGCAAGCAGCCCCGCATTTCGCCAACCTTGTGCTCATACACTTTCTCGAGGAATTTGAAGGAGGCCATGATGCGGCCGACCTTGTGCAGTGCCAGGGCAGTGGATGGGGCGAAAACCTACATTGGAGAGTACCAAGTCAATAGACATGTGGCCCGGACTCTCTCAACACCTCTGAGCTGTGCGTGGGTGTACTACCGTTGACTCTAGCGTGGCTGCTGAACGCTGGTTTGCTTTCTCCCTTCCTAGAGGGTAGCGCTCATTATTTCAACTTTGTTCCACAGTGTGGTGGCACCAAAGCAATCTCCGCATGTGGATGGCAAAACCTGTCCAGATGATACTTTGCGATTGCGATATTATTGTAGTGTGTGGCCCGGGTTGCCGTATGAAACCTAAATTCATGAAACTGACATGCGCAATCAAACCGGTGCAAACTCAAACGAGCGCGAATGGAGAACTTTGATGTGCGCTGAATTTGAAGCTTCTTGATAAGAAACTACGTAGGTAAAACATGGTAAAACCGTGTGTGTTTTTGGCACATTTTGACGTTCATGGCGTTCTTTTGTGGTAGAATTCCAATTCGTTTTACATCATTTTGCAACCGTAATTCCGGAGGAGAAGCGTCAAAACGTGTCATTTCGCCACCGGGAAACACTGAATTAGACGTTTTGCCATTCGTTAAACTACCGTCCTGAATGCATCATTTTTTGATCAACTTCGACATGTTTGGTTTTGATTTTCAAGTCGGTAACTTGTTGATGCTAACTCCTGATATTAGCGCCCCAGGACACCGAAGTTCTTCCAGAGCTTCCAGAAAGCTGTGCGCATCAAACTTTTTCAAACTCGGGCACCGGCACTGGAAGACATGTTGCTGTACAAGTGGATAGGTTTTACGTGGTTTTACTGTCCACAGACCTTCAGTTTCACCACATGCTGAGGCAAGAGCTGTTTTACTGATTTCAAAGTGCGATCAATCATGTGCGTTCCTGCTAGATTTGACATGCCGGTAGACAAATGAGGTCCTATTAAAAGCGTAGAATCAGGTGCGTGTGGAAGTCGCTTGCTTGTGGAAACGATCGCATGCAAGTGAACTTACTGGCCCACCCACCCCGCCACCCCGCCTCAAAAAACATAGAAATACCATAAACCACATGGCCGTCTAAAGGCCGTGCACCAACCACAGTGTTTTTGAAGACTTTGACTTTGACGACAATCTTACTTGTATTTATTTGTGACAAGTGGACCTTTCCCTTCCAAGAGTTTGGATCCCAAGTGCAAGGGTGCCAGGGTGCCCAAATTAAGCAGGCTCTGTGTAAACGGTTTTGCCAGTACCTTCTGCACAAATATGATGCCAGTGCCAGTCTCATGTAGAAGAGTCGCAACATGTGGTGGAAAAAATCCTCATGCTTTTGAAAAGAACATTATGCCTCACACAAGCACCAACTGCATTCGACAGCATCGCTACAGAGGGATTTCAATCACTCATGAGCCATACATGGGAGTGAGACAGGAATAAATTCGCTGGGTCAAGGATGCCTGTCTGCGCGTTTATTTGTGCGCTGGCAAGGATACTCGGTGTAAATACAACATCATATTGGGTATGTTGGCGAACAGGTATGTTTGAAGTTCATCATCTGTATATCTGTATGAGGAAGTGGGTAATTAGGTTGCATGCAAACATGTTCGTTGTAGCATGTTGCAAGTGTAAGCACGCTGCCTGCAAGTGTCTTGTTCAACCATGCTCGTTCCGTTCATCTCTAGCCAGTTTCCTTGTGCAAGTAAACCGCTTAGACTGAGAAATATCTGTCAGCCTGTCTCAAGGGTTGTCTCAAGGGTCGTCCTCTCTATGTTGCTTCTGGTTGTTTGTTTTAATTTTTAAGTTTTGAAACTTTGAATCTTGGCTAAGTTTGACATGGCTTGGCTATAGTACTATAGAAGCTACGACGCATCGTCGTATTGAATCTTGCTATTAGTGTTATTTCGATTGTTTCGATTGCACTTGACCTGCAGTCATGCTACGTTGTCTTCTGCCACTTCACTGAGTACGTAGGGCAGCAGGGGTGTAAAAAAGGAAGGCAAAAAGTCCTCCAGGAACCACGCGGTGACATGTGGTGACATCACAATGACATATGTGATATGCAGTCTGTCACAACTGATTGAGTTACAATGTTTCAGTTGTATTTAAAGTATGCCGAAATCCTAGGGGTGATGAGACGAGAAAAGCAAACATCTTGAAGCATAGTGACTGGATTCCGTGTGCTTCAAGGCAAGATTTGAGGAGGGTGGATTGCAACCGAAGCAAGGATGGCAACCTGACCATTCAGATGGAACCTGTGGCTTTGAAGGAGGTGAGACTGCAGTCCGTCCTTCCCCAAGAATTTCATGAGTTCCTCCCAAAAATCACTGTATTCGGATGTGGCTTGAAATGGACTCAGTGAAACCGCTTTCTGCTGGTCTCCTTGATGCTTTCCATCTTCTGATCGATCACCAGCTTTGGCACCATTTTGGGCAGGAGTCTTCTTATCCTGAATTTCATCGGACCTGCCGGTTCAGCGCGGGCCTACCAATTTGCGGCAGCACAGCTGAGAATGGACAATCTACTTTGTAACCCTTACTTGACATGGCTTGAATACAGCCTTGAAGGAGTAGCTGGCAAAGATTTGCAATTCTTGCCTTAGCTGTGGGGTCACTTGGTGCAAAATTGTGCGAATGGCTAAATGGCAAATTCTGATTGGCACCAATGTAGCGGCGTGCAATCCTGAAGGAAATGCCAAATGAAGGAAATTGTTGTCAAAGAAGCAGCCGAGAGATGAAGAAGAGAACTGGCAAAGCAGGAGTACAGGAGAGGCAGGACAGAGTAGGAGAAATGCTGTACCAATTGAGTATAACGAGGAAAACGGCAAGAGGGGCGAGGCAGAAAGGGGTGATAGAACGGTTGGAGCAAAAGGACGTTGACAGGAAGGATGATTGAGACAAACTGGCCCGTAGTTGGCCTTTGCAGAACTCTAAGTAGGTGAAACAAAAACGGGCACGAGTGAAAGGTTGCAGAGGACAAGAGAAACAAACCACACCGAAAAGATGCGTACGTATATATCCGCCGACCCCGGCCGACACAAGGGGGAGCGCGTAAGGGGAAAAAACTTGGATACCAGCTATATATATATATTATAATATATTATATAATATATGAATAATAATAATAATATATATATATATTATATAAATACATATATCATATATTGTCAGATATATGATTGAAAATTGTACACTCGGACGTGAAAGTCAGTGCATATGTGGAACCAAGGTAAAAATTGCATGGGACGCCGCGCGTTCAGGAAGTCAAACAAGTCAATGCAACTAGGTCTAAAACACCATGGGACGCACTATGTAGAAGTGTTATTTTTAGATCCCTGGCGGTGCACTTTTCTATTGCCAAATTTTCCAAATCCCCATCAGGACGCGTGTGCACAGTTATGTCCCATAATCTTAAAAATATATGCCAAATTTTCCAAATCCCCATCAGGACGCAACTCCACACATGAATCTCAAATATGTCTGAATAATAATCTGAAGGAATGTTTCTGGTGGCTTTCCTGAAGGAATTTGATAAGGAATGGAAGACTTCGGGATTCGAATGTTGCTAAGTGAATGTACAGTTGCAAATCTCATCCACGTTCTCTGCCCTGTGGTACACCGCATGGCACACCGCTTACGCCAGACAAAATCTCTTGCTTCTCTGCCCAAAAACCGCGCCTTGCCCAGAAGCAGCAACACAAGCAACAACAACAGCAGCAGCAGCAGCAGACCATTGCAAAGCCTTTCCAAAACCTCTCCGGGCTAGGTTTTGACTGGCTGCAATTTTAACGAGGTCCGAACGAGGTGCAAACGAGGTCCAAACGAGGTCCGAAATCAGATTTTGGGAGACTGACCCCCTAAGTCTCCTGACAAACTCTTTGGTAGCCGCACGCTTTCGCATTCTTTTCAGAACAGTTAGACTCAAGAGCTTTCAGCGGTGGAGCAGAAGAGGAAACCAAGCCAAGCAGCAGCTGCAGGCAAGAGCAAGGAGAGAGAAGAGGAGACAAAGGGCGAGTAAGGGAGACAGAGGGGAGACAAAGGGACGCAAGCTTGGCAAACAAGTATACAATTGCCACGACTTTCATCTTTGGGAGTATAGTGGGTAAACCCAAAAAGATATGACAGGTAAGCGTCGTGTGCCTATGCGAAGTGCCAAAAAATACATCAGTAAGTTAAAGTGATAGGCGCTGCCCATGCGGGCCTTTCCCCATAGGCACTTGTTATAACATCGACCCAGTAATCGTCGGTGTTTGTATGAATCTTGCACAACAGAGCGAGCCACAAGTGATGTACAAAACTCCCAAAACACAAGGGAATAGCTACAACCATCTGCATGGTATCCATGAAAAACTCACGATAAACCATCAATTGGAGAAAACACAAACATGATAAACACCAACTGGACGCAACATCGCACCGACTTCCAGAAATTTCTCCCCCACCTAGGACGCACATTTCATTGAAACCCTTTGACTTCCACAACACAACTAGGAGTACATAACATATATAATATAATGAAATATATTGTATTTTAATAAAAAAAATATAATATAAAAAAATAAAAAATATATAATATAACATAATGAAATATAATAAAATATAACATAATGAAATATAATATAATATAATATAATATAATATAATATAATAAATAATTTAAAATAATATAATATAATATAATATATAAAATATATAATATAATATATAAAAAATAATATATAATAATAACATATAATATATACTAATAAAATATAATATATAATATATAATATATAATATAAAATAGATAATAGATAATATAATATAATAAAATATTATACAATATAATAAAACATTATATATTATGTATTAAATATTAAATATTATATTATATTATAGATTATATATAATATATTACATTTTATCTTTTATATTAAATTGCATTATATATTATATTATATTATATTATATTATTTTATTTTATATTATATATTATATTATATTATATTGTATTATATTATATTATATATTATATACTGTATAATATATATTATATATGATATATTAAATATTTTATATTATATATGATATATGATATATTATATATTATATATGATATTTAATATATTATATATTATATATTATTTATTCTATATTATATATTATATATTATATTATATGATATGATATGATATTGAATTATATTATATTATATTATATTATATTATATTATATATATAAATTAATATTTCTTTATAATATATATATATATATCAGCCGACTCCGGCCCACAGCAAAGGGGAGCGCGCTATGGAATAAGAGTTTCCTGTTTCCAACTCCACCAAGCACCAGCTACAACAACAGCAACAACAGCAACAACAACAACAACAACAACTACGACGACGACGACGACTGCTATTACGACTGCTACTACAACTACAAAAAAAACGCATCATTTTTCTAGGATTTCAGAAGCTACGGCTACGACGACCACTGCTAGGACTACTACTCTGACGACTACTACAAGAACTAGTACTTCTCAACAAGTTCAACCCACCACGCAGCTTGCAAAATCTTCCTTTTCTAGCGATTCAGACGACACGTTAGGGAGCTTTTGTGGTTATGTTACAGTACGTTTTTGGCATGAAATTAGGTGGTGCTTCAGCATTTCGAATTGCGTCCGTCAGCATAGCTGTTGTACGTGCGGCTAAGCAAGCTTCTCGACAGTTTCAACTCACTGCGAAGCTTGCAAAATGTTCCTTTTCTAGGGATTCAGACGACACGTTAGAGAGTTTTTCCGGTTATGTTTTAATACGTTTTTGGCATGAAATTAGTTGGTGTTTCAACGTTTCGAGTGGCGTCCGTCAGCATAGCTTTTGCACGTGTGGCTAGCAAGCCTTTCAACGGGTTCAATCAAGCTTCTCAACAGGTTCAACTCACCACGCAGCTTGCAAAATATTCCTTTTCTAGGGATTCAGAAGACGCGTTAAGGAATTTTTCTGGCTATTGTTTAGTAATTTTTAGTACGTTTTTGGCACGAAATTAGGTGGTATGTCAGTGTTTCGAGTGGTGTCCGTCAGCATAGCTTTTGCACCTGTGGCTAAGCAAGCCTCTCAACGGGTTCAATCAAGCTTCTCAACAGGTTCAACTCACCACGCAGCTTGCAGAATGCTCTTTTTCTAGGGATTCAGACGACACGTTAGGGAATTTTCCTGGTTATGTTTTAGTACGTTTTTGGCATGAAATTAGGTGGTGTTTCAGCGTTTCGAGTGGTGTCCGTCAGCATAGCTTTTGCACGTGTGGCTAAGCAAGCTTCTCAACGGGTTCAATCAAGCTTCTCAACAGGTTCGTTCAACTCACCGCGCAGCTTGCAAAATGTTCCTTTTCTAGGGATTCAGACGACACGTTATGGAGTTTTTCTGGTTCTGTTTTAGCACGTTAGTGATGATCTTGGCACAGGCCCAACTCTCCGGGGTGGGCGGAAGAGGCGGCAGCCCTTTATATATTTATGTTATATATATATAATTAGATACATAATGGATCCTGGTTGCGTCCTTGTAGCACGCAAGTAGTTGCACCCCGATGTTTCGGTCAACCTTCTGAATAAGGCTGTCGATGCCTGTCAAGTTGCCAAGCCGAGACAGGATTTCAAACTCTGACTGGCAATATCTAGCAATGCAAACCCGCTTATCTGCAGACCATGGTTTAGTAGTTTAGTACACGTTCGGCTAAGTCCGGCACTTGCAGGCAAAAGCATGCCTCAGCTTCAACATAGCTTGAAATGTTACCGATGTTACCAGAACCTTGTTTGCTTTTCTAGCATGTCATGGTGACAGGGTGCTGGTGGCGACAAGGCGTTGCAGTGCACCATTGCTGGCCTGACGTGCAAAGTATGCTTAGCTTCAGAGTGAAGCAACTGGCTCTGCTGGTTCACTCTGCACATTGCGAACATCTTGTTTCATCTTGTTTCTAACATTTTCTAAATCTGGGGGAACTCGAGATGCTGTCACACGGAACCTAGTCAGCTTCTATGTACTCAAGCGTTGGACAAGAAAAAAACACGACCAAGCCTTGTCAAACCGACACCTGCAGCGATGACGTCTCTCTTCGTCGCTCAAAAATGAAGGTCAGTACCGGTGCCTATGCTTGATATGCTTGCGTCTGCATAGGCATATACATCATATACATCTAGATGCACCATTCAAGCACAAATAAAAGCACTGCTTGCAAATGCTTGGAAACAGCATCTGGCATGGCTTCTTTATGCTTCTGTACCCCTACCAATTTGCCCTTGAAGCGAAAATGGACACGCATTTTATTTTCCCGATGTTTTGTATACCTGGCTGCGGCTGGATCTTCAAACTGACCCGTTCTTTTAATGACATCTTATAGATTCAAGCGTAGAAGCTGTAACCATTGGACCCACACGCAGAGTGATGATGCATGATCCTATACGATCCTCCGTGTGTTCACCAAGTGACA